CAGCTCACAGGAACAATAACCTCCCAGTTGATTTGTCACCTCACAGTTCAGACCCATAACACCACATGCCCTATGGGCAAACACATGGGTTGACCCCTATGCGTTGTACGGTGCCAGCCAGGAATATTGAAGTGACTAAGGTTGATGTTCAGTGTACGACCTTCTGATGAATCTGAATCTGGCATCCCAGACGTTTTGCTCAGTAGCTTGTGGCCAGTAGTAGCCTGTAGCCCGTAGCTATACGTGGTGTGTAGAATTTTTGCATGATTGAGGTCCATCAGTCAGTACCTACAGACTTTCTTCCTTGGAACCCGCTCGGTGGTGACTTTGCGTCAGGCAGCACAGCGCACTGAGTGTGACCAGAACGGCTACCGCCTGGTCAGCTACAAGCTGATGAGGCAAGATGGAACATTTCCGGAAAAAGGGGTAGCGGTCAACAAGTGCCAACAAGGTATGGACTAGAGTTTCCTTTTAGATCTTGACACTGACCATATGGATGACACCATTTAGATTCACCCCGTTTTACATGTGACAAGACCAGCTGCTTTGCATCGGTCCTGTGATGGGAGATCATGTGGCATTATTTGACATCCACATTCAGAGGATCGTTTGGGATACCTCTTGAACCTATATGCCTCTACGGCACACACATATGTATATATATAGTATAATGAAAAAACACATATATATATATATAAATATATACACGCCAGACGCTTCTTCGGTGTTCCAAACTGATTTAAACACACACACATATCCTTCCTCAGGTCCCAGGATTGGTCCCAGGATGCGACGCCAGGCCTTGCATCGGTGGCTTCCGAGCACCACCCGGCTACGAGGCTGGCTTTGTGGCATCGGTGGTCCCAGTGATCCCCAAGCAATCGCGTCCTTGCTCCGTTCGTAGCGATGCCCTTTCTTACTAGTAGTTTCTTCTTTAATTCCGTTGTCCAGTCCGGAGATTCGTCCTTTGGTACATTCTGACAGATTCTGATTCTTTAGTTATGTATATATGGGAATCTGTTTGGGTCTCCCAAATCTAAGCACCACATGTGCGTTCTGTCATATACACCATACACCGTCAAGTCCGTGAATTCTGATGAGACACCAGCTCATGATACTTGCTGTCGCATGCAGGTTGATGCAAGTTCAATGCGGGGGTAGACTCAACAGGTATAGGTAATTAAATTCTAAGTCTATTTATATGTATTTCTTGTTTCTAATAGCTTCTTGCTCCTAGTAGTAAGGCCAGGAGCCCCTAGTAGCTTCTTGTTACTACTAGTAAGGCACTTGTTACTAGAAGCGATGCACTTGTTCCTAGTAGCTTCTTGTTCCTAGGTATACAGCACTTCTCACATCTTCGCACCATCTGCCAGGAGAGTTGTGATGGCAAGGATGTGAGGAGTGTCGTCAAGGGCGTCGAAGAGGCGTGCCATGTTTAGTGTCGAAGAGGTGGATCGACAGAGTGAAGCGTGGCTTAAGGTTCGTGAGCCGCAGACTTGCGTGTTGATGGAAAGACTATTACCAGGACTTCGGCGCCTACCCCCATACGGAATCCGATCCCACTACTGGTCCAGTGTTTGTTGCGTCTAGCGAAGTTTGTTCGAAGCAGAGGCTGTTTCACGGGGTGGAGCTGAGCCAAAGGAGTAGCCAAAGGCTACGCTTCCCGTAGTAGCCAAAAGCACCCAATCCGCCGCAATTCCACGCAATCCCTGAGACGGTGAAGCAGAAGTACCCCGTGCGGGCGGTTGTCTTCGCCATTGCTGGGGCGCCCAAAAAGGTTCGACGATGAAGCGCAAACAGCTTTATCATCATTCCTCTTTCAGACTCCAGGCGGGTTGGAAAACAAAGCAAGACCATACGACAAGAGAACAACATACTATGATTGTTTGCTGCCAGGTTGGGATGCGGTGACGTAGAAAGAAGCAGTGGGCGAAAAACCAACCAGCTTCAGAATGGAAGGGGACTGCTTATTGGGGGATCCATGATGATCCATGTGGGGTTGTTGTTTTGTGGCACTCCTAAGGCTACGATCCTGCTTGGCTGCCTTCTGGTGTGCTATGCCAGCCACCTGCATAGGAGCCACCGAACTGAAGCGCCGCTTTGGAGTGCCAAAGCTGCGACGAGGGGCTGAGAGGCATCTCATTGAGAGTTGCCACGATGACGCAAGGCTAGACCGCTAGGCTTGAATGTTTTGAGTAGCACTTACCGGATCAACAAGCAGATTACCAGAGACAGCAGAGAGGAGGCAACCCATTACTACTATCACTCTCATCGGACGGTCGCAGTTGATGGTACGCAGGGCACTCCAACCTATTACATTGTGTGTACTATAGATAGAATAGGGAGACTTCCCAAACACTTTTGGAAACACCAAGCATAGACAAAGGCCATCCAATATCCGATATCCATTGGTTGGACAGTCTCTTTATGAGACTCTGTTAGAATACAAAGATCTGTGATCTGTATACAAGGAAGTTTACGAAAAGTTAGTCCTTTCGGGTTTTGGTTCTTTCGGTTTGGTGCATCTGCTTGACTAAAGCTAGCCTCCCTTTTTTTCCAATGCTTCATTGGTAGGTCAACTGGCTATCCCTTGTAGCCATTCTCTACAGCCTTTACATGGGAAAACCAATACTTTCCATCAGATCGGATCCACTTCCAGTACCGCCGCTTCGAAGGAGTCTCGATCTGAACCAACTTCCATCCATTCTTTTTCAACTCTTCTGACACAATCTTGCCACGCTTGCCACCATCACCACTCTCCTTGGTGCTGGTATCCCTCTTGTCGGAGGGAGCAATTGGCAAGTTGGCTGCCGGCTTTTTCTTGGCAGCAGGTGAAGGGTCCTCTTCCTCCACTGTTTCTTCTGGGACCTCTTCCTCCATCTCTTCCTCCATCTCTTCCTCCATCTCTTCACCCCCCCCATCAGACTCTTTCACCTCAGGTTTGGGAATCTTCACTTCACGTGTTGGACTGCTTTGACTGGACGGTCGTTTCAAAGCAATCCTTCTCGCTGAAGGCCGCTTCAAAGGAACCGACTTCCTCTCCGTGATCGCTGACGGTTTGGAGTCACCTAACTGAACAGAACCCAGTTGAAACAGTCGCAGTAAGAGCCTGAAGACCTAAAACATCTAAAATACCCCATGCTGGTGGAAAACAGAACTCATTATTCAACTGGGTCCAGTGGCCACCTTTTCCCCTGCCACGTCCACGCCCGCGCCCACGCCCTTTGCTCCGCCCACGGCCTCTGCCCCTTAGCCCAGAAGATTGCTTTTGGGAAGGTGTACGTGATGGAGTTGCAACCATGAGATCACCTGGACGCCCTTTCTGACCGGTTGGTGTTTTTGCTGGTGACCGAAGAGGGTTTGAATAATGTGTGTCGCCAGCAGAAGCAGCTCTATTGGAAGGTGTTGGACCTCCACCAGTCCTCTCAAAACTGTCGTATATGAGTGCCGCAATGTTCACCGTCGCCATTTGCAAAAGTGCTAAAGGTTTGGGAACTAACTATTATATAATGAACAAAAACAATCTGCGGACAACTCATCATGTTGAAATTCAATTTGCTCCCAATTTGGGAGGCCAAACATTGCCAATTCAATGCCTTTTGACAATCAATGACTACTTCACAAGATTTGACAGTCAAACAGCATCCAAGGCGAAAAGATGCCAAAAGAAATGACAACAGCATCAGACTCAGATTGAGTTGGACAGTCATCATTGTCGCTGTCCGTTTTGATCATTGCGCAAATCAACAAAACTTGCAAGGCCCTTGTGGCCCTATACAGGCATGGAGCGTAAGACCCAAAACACATCCTCCAGCAAAGCATGTGCTGCTTGAAAGGTTTGCTGGAGTTTTGTGCATTTTGCACCCGAAGCCAAGTCTTCAAGACTCGTCAACTCATCGAGGGCTGCCGCGAGCTCACCTTCAAGCATCTGTCTTTTGCTTACAGTGTTTGTCCAGCAGGCAATCTTGCATCGGATGCTGGTCATTGCTATCGGATGCACAGTGGTAGTACATTCTCCTTTCTCGAACCAACACGTCAAAGTCGAGATCTGATCCTCTCCACTCATTTGGGCAGTGAAGGTCATGTGTGACATCGCTGAAAGGATTTGGATCATCTCCAAAGCCACGTTCAAATTCTGCTCATTGTCTGCCCAAACATTCCTCAATTTGATGAAGGTCTCGCGGATGTTTTCATGTGCCATATAGGCTTTGCTAGCCATCTCCGCCAAACCCATGAAGGAGAACAGGTTGTCCCAAAACTGCTTCACTTCCACAAACGTCACAGCCATGGCTATCTTTTTTTCTTTGAACGGTGGTCTGGTGCTGGCAACTTTGTCAAAAGCTGTGCTTGAGGCCTAGGCGATACGAATCAGTTGACCGACAGGCCTTACCTCGTGCTTCATGTCGTCTTCCACACCGGCCAAACCAGGAATCAATGAGTCTGAGATGAGTTCAAGAATGAATTTAATCTGCTTATTATATATTATCATTTTATGCCATCATTATGGGTCGGGTGTTATGTGGTAACATCGTTTGTCCGGCACTTAGGGCCTTTGTCGCGCATGCCAGGTCTTTGCGAAGCTTCTGAAACTGTACCACGACTGCACCCTTTCAGCAGTCAGGAAAATCCTCTAATCCAGATAGTTCCTATCGCAGTGGCTGGCAATTGCACTCAGCCAGCGGTAGAGCTTTGCATCTGAAACTGCTACCCTGGCCTTCTACCCAAGTCCATTCGTCTCTCTCAAAATTGGGCTGCCAACGTGCGAACCAGATTCTGATTCTAAAGTGTTTAATACTGAAGTCGACTGATTGATCATCAAAAAGCTGTCGACAGCAACCAAAGGCAAACAAAGAAGCATTGCAATCTGGCATGGAAGAGAAAGCAACAAAACATAACAAAACATAATATCTGGTCCTTTGCTAACTTAAACCAACTGGGCAGTGAAAATGTCCTATTATGTGGTTGTCAATTAGCCAGACTGCACCAGACCAGACCAGCATCTATTTGGTCACTTTAAGGGGCTTGTCCTTGCTCAAGGTCAGGTGCTGGGTGGTACAAACATAAGGCCGTTGAACCTTGAAGCTTTGCCCGACCCTCTCATACCGGAATCTGTAGATGTCCATGAGCAGGTCGCTGTTCCTCTCCAAGCATTTTGAGAAGACATTCTTCGCGGTAATCTTTTCCTCTGATCCACTTGCCGTTCTCGGGTCCCGAACACATTTGAACTTCATTGCAGTCTTGACCTTGATGTTGAACCCATCCTGTCCAGCCTCGAGGTCTTGCTTGCGAGAAATGTCGAGGAAGCTGAACCGATGTTCTGTCAAGCCCTTTTCACGTTCTGCCCGGATGAGCAACTTGTAGAGGGTCACAGTGGAGGAGCCTTGCGCTTCAGCAGCAAAAGAACTTTCATCTAGCTGGATCCATGCCTTGTCGTCCGTGATCACGAAGCGAACCCCTGGATCACTCTCTTCTTCACTGACCCATTGGCCGGTTCCATAACCGCCCACGACGGTATGCCGAGGAAGCGACTTGTCAACTCCACCCAAAAGCCAAATGCTGCCATCTTTCCCCACAATCAACTCCACCTGTCCGATCTCGCTGTTGCACTTGTACTGGACACTAATCTCCTGCTCAAGCTTCGACAATGAGTCCAGAACAGTATGTGAATCAGAAGCAGGTGGCTCTTGATCCTGATCTGTGGAGTTCTCGGCAGTGGATGCCCCAGCACTACTTGTTGCCCTCTCAGTACCCGAGCTTGTAGTCGTAGTTGTGGCCGCAAGGAGTGCAAGGTGCTTCTCCCTCAAAGTATCATATGTAGTCTTGAGCTCCCCAGTTTGAGCCGACCAAAACCTTGGAACTTTATTTGCAACAAAATATCAATCTCAGAAATCACATAAAAACATAATAGGAAGTAAAGAACATCTGAATCTGTCAGTCATCAGTGTCCAACAAAATATGCCCACAGTATAATATACACTACCTCACAGTTCACACACATGAAGTTGAAGACTGACTTCTGAAATAGATCGGAGTAGCCGATGTTCATCTGCTTTGATGTGCATTTTGTCCCCGGAGCGCTCGAGAACCTCAAATTTCACCTCATCCAGGCTGCCCATCGAAGCCTTGGCACCGGGGATGGAATTGATTTCCTGCTCAGTGAGTTCGGGAGCATCCACGGAGTACCTTTGGCCACCGTGCTCGAACTTGCGCTGGATGTAGGCATCGGTGATCTCGCGAGTCAGCCGGGAATGCCCGAAGGTGTCCTTGCTGTTGATCCATCCAACAGATTGATAAAACAAGTTGTCGGTATGGAACCCGCCCTTCAATTCCGTCTTGCTGAGTCTCATCTGGAAAACCTTGGATTGGGAGCCGTGGTGGTTCCAAAACATTGAATTGCAGTCGGACAGTACAGTACAATCACGACAAACAATGTGAGACCTTCTCCCCTGTTCCCAAACAGTTGATTCGAACGCAGGGTGGACGGGCGACTAGTCTTATTCCCTCAAGCTCTGGACATCCGAATCTATCGCTGAGCCGAACTTGTGATGCAATGAGATCACGCGTCTGCCTACTAGTCACTGGTCGAATTAAGTTAATTAGCAGCCAATTCTTTTCATTTGTGAAGCATCGGCTGCAACAGCATAGAGAAAGTAAGGAGGAGGGGCTTTTGGCAGCCCGCTCTTTTTTCTCATGCCTTCCCCTCCCAACAAAACATTGCGACACTGGCCTGGTGATTTGTCGACATAATGGTGAATGAGACAGGCTTCAAGTGCTTCAATTTGTGCAAGCGAATTGCTTGCATGAATGCAAGACATCTCTGTAAAGTTGTTCTCATAGTAATACCGGACCCGAACTTCCAAGCACTGTGATATTCCGATCTTGAACACAGCAAGCTGATCACCGCCATGTCTGTCTCGTAATCGCTGGATTTGTTCCTGCGGGCAGTCTTACTTCTGTTTGTTTGACCGGAATCAACTACTATGGAGGACTGACTGACTGATTCACTCCCCATAAACTCATTGACATACGACAAAGTTTAGAGTCAGTCACAGTCCTGGCAGTGCCGGAGAATCTTGCCAACAGTCAAAGATGGTTCTTTGACGCAAATAGTAATTCCATATTGCTGTGGAATAGTCATCCAACCTTCGGGTAGGGGATCATGTGGTGACCGTTCCCAAATGGCTGGAGAATCTGCAGAAGTTCCGATTTTCTCACGAGAACCTCGGAGGAGGCCCCTGGACTGATGATGCCGATCATCATCATCATCGTCATGCCAAGGCAAAATGATGCCCCTCGCGCGCTGAAAAAAATGTTCAGGACCACACAGCATCAGGACGTCCGCATCCATGTTGCTATGGATGACAAAGTAACCAACTAATAACTTAAACTTTGCAAACTTGGCGGCAGCGAGAGGCAACAGGCGAGAAATTAGTGCATTAAATGTCAAACAACAGGTCTTTGAATCTCTGGACTTAACTTGTTCCGGCCCGGAGTCTACCCTTTACTTCCACTCAAATCTATGCAAAGCCAAGAAGCCGCTGTCCCCACATCTTCGATGTACCCCGTGAGGCACAACACGATGACAGGTTTTCCCTTCAAGACATTTGAGCTTGTCGTCAGGAGAGATGTCAAGAGAGCGACCCAGCGGTCAACTCCCTTTTGCGCTTGGCAGGTCTCTGGAGATGGCCTCTGCCTCTCCGCTCCCTTCAGGTCAGCTTCCACATCAAGGTTCTCAGGAATCATGAGGTCTTTGCTCAATGGGAGCAGCAAGGGATTGGTCATGAGCGGGCGTCCGCAGCAGCCCAGTTCAGAGGCTGTGATGAACACGTTCTCACTTGTACCGTCCAAGTTGGATACCAGGCGTCCAGTGTTGAACCGCCTTTGGCAAAAAGTGTCAAGAAAGTTCATTGGAACTGACTGGTGCCTCTGATTGAAAAAACACAATGACAACCAGCATGCCAGTGCAGTACCGCCAGAAAGGTTGGAACATGTTGGAACCGAACACTCTTCATCACCCTTCAACCCTTCAATTACCTGCCTGCGGTTTGTTTGTGCATCTGCAGCCGGATGCACATCGAATGTGCACACCCACCTGGCATCGCAGCTCTGGCGAAGGCTCCAAAGGCAACTCTGAAGGTCACTCTCTTCATCACACAAACCCCGCTTCGAACTCTTCTTTGCAACCTCCGGGAGCTCCACCAAGGCCACTGAACGAGTTGGTGCCAAGTCGTTGCAAAACTGCATGGTCTGGCAGAGTTCCTGCATAGATTCTGTCGATTTTGCTCCGGGCACGTTCAAGTCACAAACAACGATGCAGTGAATCTCAGACTCCTTGAAGCTGCCACTCTGAGCCTTACAGAATGCCAAACAGCAAATAATTGTGAAATCAGTAGGTCGATGGATGTCCTACCAAAAGTAGACAACTCTCAACATATAATATAGACATCATCGCCCTTAAAAAGTAAAAAGAGGGGTTCAGATGCTAAATCTGCAAGGAAACGACGAAGAGGCGGAACTCATTTATCCTTTGCTGTGCCAGCTCAGCTTTGGGAACTAAATTGCATCGAAGAAATTTGTCTTTGTAAGCCTTGATGACACGTTCTCCTCCTTGAGCTTGGGAAATCCTCCAAGACATGAGCTTGCGGTGCTTCAGTGCCTCCAAGCGCTCTGGCGCAGATTGGACCTGTTGAAGCTTCGCTTGATCTCGAAGGAGTGCACTCTGGAAAAAGCTCCACCGAGCATCCCTGACAGCAAGGCGTTCTTTCTCTACTTCCAAGCTCGCACCCGCCTCCTGCTCCCGAACCTGATCCACAGCCTCCTTCCGGGCACAGGGAAGCATGGAGACCCCGAATTGACTTGGTCTCGACTCCAACAACTCTCGAAATTCGTGGTCTTTGGTGTTGCCATTGCAAATGGCAGCATCCAACTCTGCGAAGGTGCTGATTCTGGTGCTGCAAAATGAGCGGATTGTGAACCAGAAGCATATCATGTTCCGCAGTTCCATGAGTTCCTCCTCATTTTGCCGGTAGCGCTTGCGGTCTTGAACGTTGTCCACAATTGCTGTGGCACGTTCATACTGGATCCGGATCCTGGCAAAAAGGGCACCTTGAGCCTCCCCCGTCATAGGTAAGGACCAATCTATTGAAATTGTTGGCTCTCCGCTGACCGTCTCAAGGCCGCCTGCATCAGGCAGCGGACTCAGGGTGACTGTCGAGTTCATGAACAGGAATCGCTGGACTGACAATGATTCGCCCCATGGTCCAAATTGGAATGGGGCGTCCTTAAGACTCAATTCCACCTGACGGATTGCTTCTTCTGAACTCAACTCAAGCCAGTGTTTGATCGCATACTGTTTCTTGGAGTCCAAGATCAAAGAGCCTGTGCCGCTCCTGTCCTGCAAAGTGAGTCTATGTATATCTACAAATCCGGCTTTTGTACTATATATAATATAAATCTATATCATCAGTCTCAGTAAGTATCTATATCATCAGTTAGTGAGTCCCGCACTGAGTCCTGCGACTTTAAAACATCTGGTTTGATGGCAGTCCTTGGAGGACGCTCCGCCATGTGCCACCACCTCGGGATTGCTGTTGTACAACTCTACAGCCTGGGAGACGGTCATTTGCTCTCCGTCCTTGATCATGGATGCCAAAATTCTTGACCACTCATAGCTGCTCACAGCCAGCTTCTTGGCATCAACGTTCTGGCGAATGATGCGCCGGATCATCCCAGATGCTCGGTCTTCTGTTTGCGGTTTGTAAAAGGCTGGCAAGCCCAGCAAACTCCGGGCGAGCTGCACAACTGATGGATGAGTAGCCTCGTCATCTTTCAGAGTCCCAACCATGTGAAGCAACCCAACCCAGCAGACAGCTGCCGCCAAAGCCTTCATGCCACCCGAGTCAAAGCGCAGCTGCCCCAGGTGATAGGTTGTCTCTTCAGCCAGGTCTTCATCAAGCAATCGCATCCCAAGGGATTCACCCTGGCCAAAGCGGGCTGTAATGGGCTGTAACTAAGACACCGCCTTTCCCGTATCTACAAATTATTGTTCAGTCATTATCCATTTCTCAAATGGTTTAACCGGAGAACTTATCATCCAGATCTGGAAAATTAATGACTCAGGTTCCAGGGCGGCGAGCAATTCCCATTTGGGGCAGGGACGGGGGGCGGCGAGCTGGGACGTTGGAGTGGGCGGCGAGCAATTTCCTCCCCTGATTCTGGGGTGAGGCGGCGAGCTCTTCCTGGAAGAGCTCTCCACCCCCCCCCCCCAAAAAAAACCCCCCCCCAATCAATTGACACCCCCCTTCACCTTCCCTTTTGGTGGTGCCAGGGCGGCGAGCTCTTCCTGGAAGGGCTCCCCCCCCCCCCCCCCGCCCCAATCTAAATCTAATACCACATTCTAGTCCCATCCAGTGGACCCAGAACTTCTGTCTGAGGGTTTCCAATAATCCTTTATTATCCTTTATTGTGATTACTAAAGAGGCGGCGAGCTCTTCCCGGAAGAGCTCTCCACTCTCAATCCCCCCTATGGTGCCTGAAAGCGGCTAGCAATCACACCCACGACCACAGTTTACCTTCAATTTCTTTACTTTTCACCCAGGATTCCCGGACCAGTCAGTTCAAAGCTTTTTCTTAGTGGCTGGACCCTGTGGCTCTTCCCCAAAAAAGAAATGACTGGTGGCCCCTCAGACTTCAAAAAGAATGGAAAAGTAATGGTGGCTGGATTGGACCAATTGACATTCCGGCAATCTGTTTGGAACAAGTGGCATCTCTCCATCCATTCATTGCGATTGACTTGGCAATGTCATAGACAGTTGCCATGTCAGGGGCCCGCCAGAAACTTTCGCCTGCAAACGACCATTGCAAAATCGATGTGGTTGTCCAGCAAGAAGGCGAAGGAGGAAATTCCTGCAAAAGTTCCCAAGACACTTTGTGTCTAAAAACACGTTTCAACAAGGTCTGAAAAGTTAATAACTATTATCTGATGGCTTGGCCCAATTCTTTGATAAGCCTGTCCTCCATAGTCAAGTATTTCATCATGAAGTCATCGTCCGTGGTAGAAGAATCCACAATGCCAAGTCGTTTGACTAAGGCGCAAGACTCTTCGACAAGGGCATCTTCATCCGCCCATACTCGCTGCACCAAATCAAGAAAGCTGCCACCATCGTTGAGAGGGAACTTCTTGGTCTCTGCGTAGCCGTTGCGACCCTGGTAGACTAGATCAATCCAGTCTTTCAACTGCAAACGAGCCGGCGCAACATCTGCAGCATTGAGAGGTTGCACTTGCTGCTTCTGATTGGAACCACCCGAGATTCGCTGACGCTTTTTGGGTGGCATGACAGGAAACAGCCTACCGAAAAACCTGTCTGACCTGCCTGAACAACAAGCTGAGGTCGCACAACAGCATATTGTATTCTGTATAGTAAGCATCAGTATTAAATTATTCCTCAGACCTACTTTGCAACCAAACCAAATGTAAAGCAAACCAAACTTGCACAGTTCCCTTGCTTGCGAAGTCAACAGCCTTCCAATTTGCACTATTCGCTCCACAGGGTACATCAACACAGCCACAGTGGTTTACTGTGGCAAAAATTATGAATTTCACACAGACATGTTGCATCACATGCGGTGTTCTACAAAAAGAAGCAAACTAAGGAGAGTGAGCAGCGGGCGTCCAGTTGGCAAGCAAACTGACCAATGCAGCCAGATGGACTGGCACATTGAACCTGAGCCCAACTCCATCAGAAGACAACAAGTGTGTGGTATCACAGCTTTTTGAGTCAATGACTTACCCAAAATAAGAAGCACACAAATCAAATAAATCCCTTTAATTGGACTTGACAAAGTGACGCATTGCCGATAAGGTCACGCATCAGAGAATCTGACACATCTCCCATCTGAAATCGATGCCATTCTGCTTGACCAACTCCTTGCAGGCTAGCGAGCTCCTGCAAGTTTAGCAACCAATTGTTGCTAGCTATTATTTCAACTCATGTCGGACCTAATGGGTTGAAACCAGAACATGTTTTTGGTATCAATGCTGCTATTCACAAACGAATTCATTCATTTTCTTCACAAGACAGATCCGACCCCGTTTGTGTCCTGTGGAGTCACAAGTCGAAAACGACCAGGCCCTGACGCAACATACTTTCCGCCAGGGATGATGCAAGAGCTCGTTGCCAAATCCGACTTCGGGTAATTCTGCCTCTGAAAGTTTTGGTCCTTAGAGTCAGCACTCCAACACAGCACTTACACATTTGGTGGGTTGAGCCGGTTGAGCAAAATCTGCTCAGCTGACTTTTACACTCGTTCAATTCAACAGCCTACCGAAAAAACAAAAAACTCGATTCATCCTTTGCATAAAGCAAAATAAATCACTAAAAAAGCACAACCTGAAGTCTTGTATTATCCAGGTAGCAACCTGCAAAACAATCAAGTCCTTCATGGCATCAAAGTTGTAGCGCTGAGACAATTCCTCCACGGCCACTGCCAAGATGGCGCGTTCCCGTGTGGTGCATGAGATAGCGGAAAACTGCAGCTCACACATGCGGTGGTGAAGTTTCTCCTGTTCACGGTTCATATGTATTTTGCAAAATGGAATTAATTGGAACAGTGCAGACTGAATTGCCATCATTACTGCCTTTAGAGGCTGATTCTCAAGATAGGTCCGAATGGCTTTCTACTAGACTCATTAATCACTCTTTCACTCCAATTCAAGAAAATACACGCAATCCAAAAACATGTCGTGTGTCTCCTTCCCAAAGATCTTGCACTGTTCTGCAAAGCTGTCCTCCCACTTGTTGCCACCCTTACCACCCTTGCCCTTCATGGAATTGACACTTGGCCAATCTTTGAGATTCAGACAGCTAGAGAGTGGGACATTCTTCCGCTGGAATCGGTTCACATCAGCTTCCAGCTTGGCAGCGTCACAGGCAATCTCTGACTTCAAGACACACAGCAGCCATGCACGGCGCCTCTGCTGCGGGACCCCGAAGTCTGCCGCGTTGTAGATCGCCCCAGAAACAAGATACCCCAGACTTGAGAACCGCTTCTCTATGAGGTCAAACCTGAGAACGTTTCAAACATAAACACAATGATGATTCAGCAGTAGTTTGTCATCCTAAACTGACTATTACTATTTATTGTATTAAGTGCTTATTGTGTTTTTGTGGCAGTGATTTTTTTGCTCATTCAGAATTAAAATGATGTCAGTCTCAACTCACCAAAGTAAGCTGTCAACCAATAAACTTAACTCAATAAGCCTGTTTCTATTTCACCAGCAAGACACGCAGAAATGCCACCTGATACCTCCCGCTTTGAAAATAGTGAGGCGACGTTCTCCATCAGCACAAGTCTCGGTCGGTGCAACCTCACGTACTTTTCCAATCCGAGATAGCCTTTGCCACTGCTGCAGTCTGGATCCAGCACACTTCCGGGAGTCGTTGTCAACATTGAAAGGGAGACACATGGAAAGCCACCAACCAGCAAATCGACCTGGCAGGGATGGTCAAAAAGTTGTCAATGGGCTGTCTAGGTTCCCAAACAATTCTTTAGACAAATTCAATTACCATCCACTTTCTTGAACCTCCGACTCCCAATCCAAACCTTAGGAACAGCTTCAGAACATCCGTTTGCAGTTCTGGCAAACTTCTTGCCCATGTCGGACACGTCACAAAAAAGGTGCGCATGAGGAAATCTGGAGGACAGGTACTTCTGCTTCCTGGGACAAAGCTCGGCCATGAACTTCAATTGAACCTGCAGAGCGAGACATACCCTGACACTCCTAGTTTCTTGGAACCCGCCATCAAAAAAACAATGTCCTTCGCAAAGGATTGCACAAATCATGATTATAGATTGTATGTGATATCGTTCTTGGTGGTTCCCCAATCCAATATATATAATATATTATATTATATTAAATGATCATTTTTAAGCAGTTTGTGAGTTTGCATCCCTGGAAGAAAAACAATTGGTCAGTTGCTGCTGCTGCTGCTTTCATCACTACTACCACCACACATCATTTTTATAATAGTTGGTTTTATTCATTTCTAGTAGTACCTGACTGAGCCTTATGGTTGTTCCAAAACTCTTGATAAGGCACCTACTCCTACCCACCGACACCCCTAAAACTCAGTATGCATCATAACACGCTGGCAATCAGTACGGTGACAGGTTGTTGAAGAGGGTAAAGGGTCAGGTTAAGAGCCGCTATTTTCAACCCAACAAATTGAATGAAGTAAACTATGAAATATGTAGAATAATCCCCGACTCCATGAGAAGATAACCGAACATAAAACAGTCCCATGACAACTTCTTGTTGAGGGGTTCCTTAAATCCAGGATGAATTGCGCCTCCAATGAAGAACCACTGGGCTGGACCGAATTCCAGCATTTCTGCAAATCCTGGCACACCATCTCCAGAACTCCCCACCCAGAGAAAAGGCTGCCAACCCGGAGGGTCGAGTTCACATGCCCCAGGTTCTTGGCCAAAAGATCTCGGAGATCTGCAAAGACCTGATTGTGCACAAAGTCCTCCACGAAAGCTCCAACCTGGGCAGGTGAGGAGTTACATGCACGATACCCCAACAAACTCCACCAGCACCTGTGAGTTTGGGTCCTATATATCTAAAACTTTGTCTTCCAAAACCCTGAGGCCTGTCTTCCAAAACCCTGAGAAGAACGACAATTGAAAACCGACCGATCTGTCAGGTAACGCTTGGCGGGACAACCAGGGCAGACAATTTCTCATCCGGCTGACTTTGCTGTGCGCTTGGGGCTGCGACTGCTTCTTCTACATCTGATTCCAGCAGGAGTTCATTGGTGTCGGAGCACTGCTCACCACGGCATCCCCCTGGAGAGTCAAAACTGCAAAATAAACAACACCGTCACTTTTGTTTTGCCGATCAAGCAACATGAAAACAGACCCGCTAGTGAACACCTACAGCGACTGCAAACAACTGAACTACTTCCTTCGTTCCCGGTACACTGAACTTACTTCATTTGTTCCCAGTACTCTGGTTCATCATTGATCCCCGCTTCCCCCCAAGGTCTCCTTCACCTTCATCTTCCGATGCAAAGAGGATCTCCTGGACGACGTCCTCATCAACTTTCCTCCTGGGCATGTGAAACAACTGATCCCTGAAACTTCAAGTTACAAACACCACAGCGGACTACCGTCTCAGCAGGAGCAATTCATTTTGCGCTTTGGGCAGCAAAGTCTGAATTTAAATCTTACATCTCAAATCCAATGGGCAAATCAACTGGACCATCCGAATCCGAACTGTCATCACCTGCATCAGCCTCGCCTTGTATACACAAATCAAAGTGCCTCACCCGATGAGGTATTCGCCATGTACCAGGCCGATGGACCTCCCGTCTCATGTCCGGTAGATATCTGTAATTGAGAACGGAATAGGTCTGCGGCCTTTGCTCATGATTCAAAGTAGCAGTACTCCATCGTGTCAAATATTCAGCGCCTGAAGCTGTCAATTCACCACTGCGCTTCAAAATCGGAACTCTTTTGGCAAGGTTTTTGCGCACATTCTCTGCGATAGCTCTTCTTTCTGCAATTCCTGCTGGTGGATGGAAGCCGGTCCGAATTTGGCTCGCAACAGATGCGGGCACAACCACTGTGGCCCGAAGCACTTCAGAATCTGCCAGCCAGCGTTTTGTCACCAAAAAGACATCATTTTCATGAGGAACATGCCCTCGGCCATACTCTTCCAGATTCAGAATGTTATCGAGAACACTGGTACCCAGATCTTTGCGAAGAGTAAACTTGAAAAAGTGCACATGGCGCAACCCCTTGAAGCTCAGGCCGGTTTGGCCCACAAAGTTCTTCCATAAAGCTGCTTGGTCTAGTTTGACAGCGTCTGCATTTGCACCCCTCAGGCGGCCTGAAGTCTCTCCAGGGTCAGCAGCAGACATGAAACAATCGTTCAATAAAGTCAGCATCTCCTGATCAGACATCAGAGTCTTACCAGCCAGCAGTCTGGCAATCTGGCCAAATGCTTGATCAACATCCTCATGGGAATGGGATACCCTGAGGAATCCCATGGCCACGACCCTTGCCGCACCAAGGAGCTGCAGCATCAATAAAAAATTCAACATGTACCTGTTTTTGGCTTCCCTGTATGTATTGTCATGTTGTAGGTATATGCCTAGTGGCATTGAACCGCACCCATCAAGAATGCCGCAAAGCGATTTGCAAAGCACCTCGATGCTGGTCACACTGTCTTTCTTCATGTCCTCACAGCTAAGGTGAATCGTCAGCCGCCAGCCATGGGCCCAATTGGCCACCAAATGCATCGCGGGGCGGTACAGCTTCTCACAAGACTTTGAAATCCGTCCGTAACCCCATCGTGGAATACGGACCTTTGCCTGGTCCATTCCGTCTTGGATCAAGCAAAGTTGGGAATTGGACAGATCTGCACTGAGCTTGGCAGCAACCCACAGCATTTGGCTAAACCACTGCCTTGACAATGTCCTTTGCTGCCAGTAGAAGACGCGATCCAGCCATTGGGCCAGTAAGTGCTTGCTGTACAATCTTGTTTGAAGCATCCTGTCTGACCGGGTCTTTGATTTTTTGATTCTGTTTCGCAGATTGAAGCATACCGTGCACTGTGAAAAGGAGCCCTTGTCTCGGAATTTCAAATGTTTGCCAAAAATGCGAGTCATAATCTTACGGAACGTAGAGAAACTGGCCACGGGTTCGCCTATGGCTTCAGCATAACTTTGATACTGGATGAAGACATCAATGGGACGCATCCACTCTAGCCACCTCGTTGGACCAGAGAATGTGCCCGGTCCACTTCCAGGTTGTGCCTCAACAATGCACAAAACCCGAAATACCAAAATACTATGTACTGGACGACCAAATAACTAGCAAACAAATCAATAAAGGTAAAAGGCATCATTCTGCTGAGACATGCGTCTGTGGCATAGTTACTTTCAAGAGTTCTCATGAATGCACTGACATACCGTTCTTGAAAGTCAGGGTCGGACTTGACCACCGTTTCTGCCAGATGGCCCACCAGAGTGGTTGGCATGATGAAATTTGTGGGCAATACCTCCGCACAGCTAATGTACAACATCCAAAAGAATGAAAGTACACTGGGCCACTTTCTCTGCAAGGAAGAACGCACAAGTGAAGTTGACACAGTAGGGTGTTTGGGTTCCTCAAGGCGTCCCTGATGCATGGTGAAGGGCCGCTCACCTTGCCGAAGCTTCTGAAGAGCACCTGAACCTATGCCATATAGCCTTTTGTGCGCTGCCTGGCAAACTTCTTTGCCCAAGAACTTGAGCTGTCGCGATCCTGCTCTGTTGGCAACATACCTGCGCTTCTTTGGGGGCTGATGGACCTCGCCCTCAGAGTCTGTTGCCAGCAGGAGTTCTGTGTGGTGCTCTGGACTGGGGCAATCTTCGCACTCTGAATCTGTTTGTAGTAGTATTCGGTCTTCAGGCTCGGAGTCAGTTTCTAAAAGTAGTGTCGTCCCATCATTGGACCTCCCAGCATGGTCCAAGCCCAATAGCGAAGCAGCATCCACTTCTAGGTTGTACCATTTTCGAATGCAAGCTTCCTTATGTTATGGAAAATTGATTCCAACAACAAAGAAAAACCTGCAGTGAGGGTCTGGACTTTAAACTTATCAGGATTCCATCCAACCTGATGGCATCTAGTGAGGGAATAAAGTAAACCACAAAACTTGAATTGAATAACGGAACCGGATTCTTTGCAATCTCCATCTAGCTCATGAAAGCGGTTCCGCTCCTGCTGCACTGCTATTTCATCATCCGTGAACTGTTGGAAACAAGCAGCCCCGCTGCATGTGCATTTCTGGCGCAAAAGCTGCCCTATGGTTAACCTCTTGGGCATCCTGTTGTCTTCGGCCAGTGGCTGCAGCTTCAATATGCAACGGATTGGGTGAGGCAAGGAATCATTGGGGCAAAAGGTCTCAAATACTCGGGTCTTGACTGGTTGGGGCAAAGTAGTTATTTATTATGCGCTCTTCCATCTCGAGTAGCTCGCAGATCATCCCTGATTGTTTTGATTCCTTATATTATGCTTAATGGCTACTGAATATCCTGGTTGGCCACCCATGCCATCCAATCACCTCGGACTCCATTCCACACTTCCAGCACCCCAGAGCTCCTCGAAGCTGCTGGGCGCTTTGTTGCTGGCCGTTTGCACGCTGGCCGCTTCATGGCACACATCGCAAATGACGACAAGCCTCCCTGATCCCGACAGGACTCTTAAGCCAATCCACGCATATTAAATTCATAGAACCCGCAGGACCCTAACCTTTTGAGAACACTTGAAAAGACCAAACTTTGAAAAGACTATCTTTTTAGAAAGTTCCTTATACGTTTTCGATTGTTTGATGTGTCATCCCAAGCCTGGCCCCTCGTAAGCCATTTGGGTCCTGTTCGGACCTCCTTTCAGGAGGTACCGGCAGCGCTTTCTGGAAGATGGTGGGCTTTGAGGCAAAGATTTGCCGAATCGGCAGACCCTCTTCCAGCCGAATCGTTGGTTGATTCCACTGTTTGGCTCCATACTTTCCTCCAAAAAACACCTACCAGGCTTCGGGTTACAGAAGGGTGTAGAGATGTGTAAGATGTGTTGTGACCATATTATGGACCACACGACACATCCCGGTGCATCAGAGAATCTCAGATCTTCAGGATGCTGGAGTGCATTCAGACCTTTCATGTAAATCCACCCGGATCAACCTACTGGGACCCCAGCTTTGCGGTTTGTAGAGAGTGACCTGACTGGAGAGCCACTGGTGTTGCTTGCACTTGACTCTCATGACTTAGGACGAGAAGAGGCGCAGACACCAAGACAGCAAAGTTGCAAACTACATGGGGTTGCTCCCACTACATAAAGGTGCTAAGCAGTTGAAACAAACAGGTAATATATGACTATAAACAACTATATGTATATATAACTAAATAGTTAACACAAACACACATCATTTTGAACAACACAACGGGGCAAACAACAACTAGTGTTCGTTCAATAAATATCAATCAATCAAAAGCTGGCTGTTCAACTGTTCAAGTCCTGCGGATTTCGTGTCACATGCGCGGCCAGTCTCGCCGAAGGAGTTTTCAGTGTTTGACGACTTGTGAGGTTTCAGTTTTGTTGGCAGCGCGCGGGCACCCTCCTCAAAGGCGACGATGCTTCCAGGTAAATGACAACTATAAATATAAAGTTGATATTGTTCAATTTCTCATTCACTTGGATGTTATATCCCTGTGTTTCCAGGGGCCACCCGGTTGGTAGACGGCCAGGTTTGCATCCCTTCTCGCCTTTTCCTGGCCAGGTCGCTGAAAAGGGCGTGGTGATGGCAAGGAATTGGGGAACAGGTTCTTCCCAACTTCAGGTGCACACACATGAGATACACCTTGAGTGCATCTTCGTTTGTGTCATTGATGTGGAACATTGAAGGCCAAGTGGAAGTTTTCCGTCACTTGTTCGGCTTTGATGTCTTTGGACGGGTACCTGATCTGGGGCTGTTATTGTGTCAGTGATTCTGGAATGTAGTTGCTCAAATGTGGATGTGTGCGAAACCCATAGAACCAGAAACGGGTTTGGGAGGGCGTAGGTAGTGTTTTTTGTTGAAACCAACAGCTAATTACTGAACAAAGCCGACCACAAAGAATTCCTAGGGTTGTTAGGTAGTGGAGAATACCCTGATTCTCCCAAATCAATGATCTCAGAGCCAATACTCACTGCTTGATACGCTGCATGTGTGTGGCTGCTGAGCAGAAATGACAGCAAGGCAGAAGCACAGGACCCAAAAGCTTCCATTGAATTGGTATTTGCAGGTTTCTTATGAAGTGTAATTGATTGGACGGGAAGCCACATTTTCTATCTCAAAGAAGCCACCTCGTAGCACGAAATGAATCGCGACACATTGACGGTGGATGGCCAGCCACACCCGTCCTCTCATGACATCCTTAGTCCTTGTGCCTTAGATACGTGTTTGGCATCCAACTCGTTGAAGACTATGTTGCATTTAGAAGAAAGAGAGCACCGCTTTGCCTGCCCACATGGGTCGGCTTCACAGTTTAGCTAGCACTCCCTGACATCTCCACTTCACGGAAGTAGCCACACACTCAGACACAACACACACACACACACACACACACACACACGCACATGTGGGTCACATGGGCTTTGAGAGACTCGCGCTTTTGGGCGCACTCCATGGGTTCGGCTGTCCTGCGCTTTTCCTTGGCCTGTGTGGTGCTGTCCGATGTGTCCAACGCCGGGACTCCAAGGACTTGGTGGTAGCTTCTTGTTACTACTAGTAAGGCACCTGTTACTACTAGCGATGC